ATATATTTATGTTTTAAATATTAAAATTAAATGAAAATATATTAAATCTTTATATGCTACATTTAAGAAAATTTAGTACCAAAATTGGTCCAGAGGGAGTCCTAAGATGCAGAAGCATTGTTTCTCTTAAGCTTTAATAAGCCAGGTGAGGGGATCACTGTAAGGTTACAAAGAAATTATATTCCATTTCATACCCTACCATTATCAGGGGTATAGTGAAGATTTCCCCTTATTGATAAGTACCCTGTCAAGATACCAAAGCGCACTGCCCAGGTGTTGAATGCTGTATGGAAAGCTCTGACTCAGCTTTTCCTCTCCACATTCATACACATCCTACATCCAGAGCTTGAGTCTGGTCTCAATGCATGGCTATATTTGTGGACAAGTGCTTCCTCAGTCCGCCCTCAAATTGTGCTGCAAGCAGCACAAAAAGAAATCAAGAGCAGGGGAAGGAGAAGTCTAACGGCGCTCAGAGAGATCTCAGTTGCACAGAAGCGGGCTGTGATTTGGGATGTTGATATCCGCACTTGTGCTTCCACACCGAACGGAGAACTCATCATTTAAAAGATTACCTTGTAGATGATGATAAGAGCACATTTTCTTCCTCTGCAGACAGCATTTGTGCTATGGCGACCATTATGGCTGGCGCTTTTATCAGCGATTTAGAATGGAGCTGTCCAAAACTTGAAAAAGCTTCTATTAAAGTAATGTGGATTTATCCCTCTAAGACCTGTGAAATTTCTCAAAGAACCCAGTTTTGGCCTCCTTTTCTAATAAAAGCGCGTAGCTGCACAGCAGGGTAATAAGGTCCCCAGCCTCCCAGGAAGCTGGGCATTTGGTTCGTGGCCCACATTTGAGAATCCCTGGAGAGCTCTCTGGATGTTTGGAAACATCTCATGGGAGTTTGGAAACCAGTCCTTCCATGGCGTTTCTGGGGCCAGCAGGGTTACTTGGCTGCGGTGAGGTGGAGTAGCATAGCGCTAGGAACACAAGACCTCTGCTTCTGTCACCCTGCAGCATGCACGTGTGTGGATTTGATTGCAGTGTTTGCCAGTGTGGCTGAATATTAAAAATTGAAATGTAGTAGGTAGTTTTACTGTATCATCTTTCAGTTTATTGGTACTGAAGTTGTTATATAGTGTTGGGAGTTTTAATGCTCTGTTTTCGTTGTCTCTTATAATGTGATTTCAATGTACGACACTGAAACTTTGTTTTATCCAGCTGGGCATTTTCAGCTGATGTATTGATTCCTGTTATGAAAGCAGTGTTAGCTGATACTGTCTGGCTGGAAGCAGGAGCTTTGAAGCTTGAGATGGGGAGAGCCCCAGGAGATCCATGCTGCTGCCTACCTGGTAGCCAGAATAGGAGATATTAGAATAGTTTGGGTATCTCCTCTTTATTTCCATTGCCCACTTTTTTTTTTCCTTCCCTTTAGCATTGCTCTTTTGGAAGACTGTTCCTCCTTTCCCTTGGTAGTAATCACGCTGCTGTGTATTACAAAATTGTCAGTCACAACAAGCTGCAAATGGTTGCCCCTGCTCAGCGCCGAAGCAGGGATGGGATTGCAGCTGAAGTGCTTTTGCAGGCCAAAAGGGCAGATCCTGCTCCCTGATTTTATTTTGAGTTGGTGCCCGACCGCAGTCTTGGGGGTCATAACGTCTCATGGAAAGTTGTCATCTTCTGAGCAGAGATGAATTACTCTTATTCTTTTGAGAATTGCTGTAGTAATGCAGATGCTTTGGCCAAACTTTAGGGTGGGTAATTGCATGCTTGCTTCCCACAGGAATTTCATTTGGATGTGGGATCACTGGCTTTTTGCTCCGATGAAAAGGCAAACAGATTCGAGAGCATCTCAATGTTGATGGCAGCTGCTATGGAAGCACTTGATATGCCTTGCAGCCCTTCATTTGTTAATGCGGAGATGTTGATCTCTGAAAATGCCCTAAAGGCAGTCAGGAAAATTCTGTTCCTAGGTAAAAACAAAACATGACGAAAAGAGCATAGCCTGAAAAACAAAGATATGGCAGAAAAGAAGAAAAAAGAAAATGAGACTGTACCCGCCTGTGTACTAGCTGGGGGCGAACTGTGAATTCTGCACTTCTGGAGGGTCCAGGCAGATCAAGAGGCTGGGATCAAAATATCAGAAAGCAAGATCCAGAGTAATCATTTGGTAAGGAAACAGTTTCTCAGAGTTGATAATCTTCAGCCCAGAGTAATCTTTGAAATCAGCTGTGCTTTTGGCTACTTGACCACCTCCTTTGAGAGTGGCCGCTCAACCACTACCGAGTAACCGAGACTCAGGGAAAAGAATGAGGCTGAAGGATGGTGGTCACCAAGTCCAGCAGGTAAAGCACATAGGGATGAATGTGTTGTGTCAGCTGGTGTGAGCTGGGGCATAAAGGAAAAAAATGCCAAGAAAGCCATCAGTCACTCATCCAGAGATTCACCAACATAGGTGTTTTAGAAAGAATGATGACAGCAGGGCTAGCTCATGTGCTTGTTTCATAGAAAATGAAACAGTATTTGAGCAGGAGATTCACGAGATATTAACTTGAACACAAATGGGTCGTCTATTGCATCTCAGTTGGATGCTCATGAATGTGTCTTTGTGCTCCCAGAGACACCTCAATTTATTCCAAAAGAATGAAAATTAAATGTAAAATTTCAGGTCGTTAAAATAGTGACTTCTCCCCCTGAAAGGAAGAAGTGTGTTAATGGCTAAGTAGGAAGGTAAAAATGTGAAAGAATACAGGCAAAATAGTATCTGTGATTAGGTTCTAAATGTATCAAAACTCTTGCTCATGATAAAAAAATAGTGCCTGTGCTGGTGGAGCACGTATTGGAATCATCAAGGGAGAAACTGAGAATGTCTTCAAAGGTAAATAAGTTCTCTAATGATTCAGGAAGGAGTTTAGTTGTCTGGCATTTTGTGTCCCTGGGGGCTTCCCCTTCTCCAAAGACTGCTAAGTGTATGGGCTCGTTGCTTGCTGGGGGAATAACCAGCAGAATGAGAGTCACCCTTGGGATGCTGTGGGGCTAGGGAGAGAGGAAGAGGGAACCCGTGGCCTTGGTGTAGGCTGGAAGGAGATTAATGTATATTTATATGCATTTGGGATTGGGTAAAGTAGAAACCAAGTATTTTTAGGTTAGAAAGGCATGTGGCAAATGCCCATAAAAATGTTACCTACAATTTTGCATGTTGCTGGTGAACAAGATGACAAACTTTCCAAGTAGTGTAGGTTATTATTGCCAGAGAGAAGGGTCAGAACAAGAATCTGCAGATAGTCTGTTAGTAAACAGTGTCCAAAATGGCAAGCTAAAAGTTTCTGTTGCTAACCCGAGGAGAGGGTTTAGGTTAAACAGGCTTTTGCTTATGGTTCCCACTACAGCCACAATGATAATACTTAAAGGGTTGCTGGGAAACCTGTTTATCATTTTAAAAATCATAAAATAAATATCAGAGAAGGTCTAAAATATTTCATTAAAGCCTCCAATGAACTGCAGCTTTGAGGAAAGCCTTCCAAAATGCTGATGGGACATCATTAAAAGCTGCAGTCCATACGTCTGGTGTGTGCTCCTGCTGCGTTAGCGAACGCCAGTAGCAGCCTGGTAGAGACAATTTCAGTACTGAGTAATTCATAAATTGGTTGTACTTGTAAAGATTAGTTGTTTTTGTGTCTGGCAGTGGGAGCCAAATGATTTCCAAGTGATTCGCTGACCGCCTCATTGTTAGCAGGGAGTGTGCCAGATACCCGCGGACCCGAAGTAACGGTTAATTCAAAAGCATGAGCTCGGTTCTGTTTCGTCCCTGCTTGTTGAAGGTACCAGAACTTGGCTTCCCACAGACACATTGATGAGCCAGTGCTATGCTAGAAATTTTTCAGACTAATCTTTCTGCAACAATGAGCTGGTGAAAGCCGGGAGAATGATACGCTGCTGGCTGTTTCCAATCTCTGAATCGATCTCCCCGTCTGAGGAAACAAAGGACCGGGCTGGTGCAGACAGGCAAGGGCAGCACGTGTGAACGTCCTGACAAAAAGTAAAATGACTGCAGCGGTATCTTTCTTTGTCGAACGGGTGAGTGGTGTTAAGCAGAGAGTAAACCTGCCTCAGCTGTAGCAGCGTTGGACTTAAGGGCTTTGTTAACTGTCTGAGGAGAAAGTGAAAAAGCAGAGTGCAACCTCCTTGAGCCTGAAATAGTAAGCTAGGAATAACAAGATTGCTATTACGTATCATAGAGGCTAAAAGCTTAGCAGGAATCGAAAAGGATTAACATTTTATAGAGCTGGAAAGAATGTGAAGAGTTGTTGTTCTTTCCTGAAACAAATGCGAATTGGGAAGAGCTATGAAGCCACCTGCTCAGTACCTAAGCCAGCCTTTCAGTGATGGAATGTAGGAGAAGACTTACCATCAGGAGTTAGAGAACTCTACATCCCAGCATATATCCCGAAAACAGATGTGAGAGAGGGCCAAAGAAAAGTTATGTTCTTAAAAGATATGAGACACTTTTTGATCTAAACTGATTTTTTAGATCTTTGATATAAACAGATTCCTGAAACTGTTGCAAAAGAGATCTAGCACCACTGCCACCCACTGATGCCCGCCTCTCCTGCGATCGCCATTTGGCCTGAACAAGCAATTTGTGTTTGACCTTTGTGGCTGAAGAAGAAAGCATCTACTTTGTAATATTCAGTACAGTGATAATTCATTGTAGACTGGATATTTATTAATTGATCTTTTTCCCAAAGTGTGACATGGTTGAAATCTATTCTGACTTTCACCAAGGTGTACCTTGATTAACTAAATCAACAGAGCAAGTGATCAGCATCTTGCCCGCATAGTAACATTCAGTGGCCATTGTTACTGGTCTGCCAAGAGCTGTGTGTGCTGTGATGCCCGAGCAGTGTTTTCTTACTTTGCGTCTTCCTTTTATTGTTGGAAACATTCATGATATTTAAGACTCTTGAGGCTCTAATCTTACCTTCCTCTCTCCCTCTTAGTGTCTATCAACTTGTTGTCAAGGAGGAGAAGCTGCAGAAAGCACGGAGAGCTGCGGACATCATTGAATGCTTCTCTGTCCCAGTGAGCTACAAGAATGCTTCCAGTCTTGACTCACCACACTACTTTGCCGCTGAGCTGAAACCCATCAACCTGCCTGTCACACAGCCATTCACAGTGGGTGACAACAAAACCTACAACGGCTACTGGAATGCTCCGCTTTCTCCCCTGAAAAGCTACAGCATATACTTCCAGGCCCTTAGCAAGGCAAATGGAGTAAGTGCAGAGAAAACTGAAGTTAGATCTGTGCATATGACCACCTCTGTCTACCCTCCTCATCTTTCTCCTTCCTTCTCTGTTGGATGCCAGTTCAACTTCTCCTTATTATTACCCTCTTACAGAAATTTAATGAAAATTGAACATGCTGCTACTTGTCCTTCTCTCAAGTCTCTCTCTGATGCCTACATGTGATGAGAAGCCTGTTAGGGAGCTAGACTATGTAGAGGCACATATTGACATGTGATTTACAAAATTAATTGCTTAGAATTTGGGGTTTTTTTTTTGTTTTTTGTGGTGGTTTTTTTTGTTTCTTTGCATATGCGTAGACGTCAGGGAAGGGGCTATTGTGCTTTTAAAAGACGTAGCAGCAATATCCTGATAGTCTCCAGTTCACGGTGCTTGTAACTTTGGAGGAGACAGTGTGAGATGAGAAATACCCAAAAGCTGCTAATTTGGATTACCTCGTAGCTTACATTTGGTCACATCATAATGTAGCACTTAAGACTGCAAGTTTCAGCTTGGGTAAATCGAGCTGCAGGGATGACTATGTGCATGTCTGTCTTACTCCTTTTGAATAACCTGGACTATATTTTTCCATACACTTACTCTCTGATACTAAGTTTAAAATGACAACAACAGAGGCAACATAGTCTGCCCTGTTCTCAGACTCAAATGATGCACACATAATGGCCCAACAGATGCCGTCATAGTAAAAAGAAAGGCCTCTTCTGCCTCTTCTATGTTTCTGTTCCAGCTAGGGTAGTTTATGACCTTCTCTTTTAACTCTCCTGTTTCAGGTCAGTTCAGCTAGTAGTGTACAGGCCAGGTCCAGTCTAAGCAGTCATTCACCTTCCTCCCCTTTGACTCCCCCAACTGTTTTTTGTTATCACCTAACATGGTACAGTTTGACACTCTGGCCTCGTGAAGAGTCGTAGAGCATTAACATGGTGTCGAGAAGTTGGGTAGCCGAGTGTGTTATTTGCACAGTTGCCAGTGCTTTCATGAATCTGACTTTAACAGAGATAAATTTTATAACACATCACCTCTGAAAGGGCAAAATTAGAAAAATCAAAGGTGAATGGTGTAGGCTTTGGTCCCCACTTAGGACAGTGTCTTTTATACCCAAAACACAGGCGCACATCACAGAGGACCGTACCTCATTGAACAGCCTAACAATGCCAATGAATGTTCACAACATATCTTGGTGTTTTACTACCTTCATTTATCGCCATTCTCCTGCAGAGTTTCTGCTGTGTGGCTGACAAGCACAAAACTCTTCAATACTGTGCTGTTTTTCACCTTGGTTTCCTTTCTAGTCGATATAGTTTCCTTCCAGCACTACTCAATTAATTCAATTTTGGATTTGCCTTTATAAAGGAAATTGTGAAATATATATGTATATGTCTCTCTGTGTCTAGTTAGTTCCCCCATGTGTGATAGTTAATTGCTAGTGAATGGATCCCCAGGGAAGAAGAAACTTTATTTGCTGAAGTGCAATATAATATGCCATAAATGGATTAACCGAATGGAAACGTAGGCTTCCCTTGGCATTCTGGATTAAGGCAGCGCTAATGCGTGGTTCCTACATTTTCTGGATGTCTGTAGCTGGCAGGTTGCGTTACACTTTCTACATACAAGGTGATAAGGACTCAAAAAAGGATGACTTGCTTGGGCTGTTCTAGTAGGAACACAAGATTGTAAAGGATTTTTTAGGCATAATTAATCAAAAGAGTCTGTGTGCAACGAGAGACAGTTTGTGAAAGCATGAGGGGTGTTCTGCCAGAAAAAACAAATTTCTATTTGAGCAAGAAATTTCCTCTTGAGTTAATAAATTGTATTGGTACAGCATATGCCTATATATCCTCAAAGTGCAGTACTATGGGAAAAAAAAACCAGAGGAAATGTCCCAGAGTGGAACACGGATCTTCAGAGAAGTAGCTGTGATAGTTTTTGTTTCTGGATAAAATCCTTCAGCCCCACATTTCAAACATTAGGGTCTGATTTTCACTCAGTCTTTTGCAGATGTAAGTAATAAGTTTTGTTTCAGTCCCAGAATTGTTTAGAGGTATAATTTGTATTTGAGAGTTCTGTGTTTTCTCTTCATGTCTATAACCTAAGCAGCTTTGACTGGTCTTCGTAAAACCTACTGATAATTATGGCTGCAATGTGGCATTTTTGATCATGCACATCTGCAAAAAATCTGAAACAGTAACAATTTAGCGCTATAGCCTTATGGTCCCTTGCACATGAAAAACTTAACAGAACATTGCCACTCATTTTTTAATGAGGATATTCTATACTTTTATTAATCACTGACAGTTGTGGAATGATGAAACCTGTTTCCACACCTGGAACCTGCAATGAGAAACCTTCGTGCAGTGAACCAGAGCATCTTCCTTTGGAAATGTAGGGCTCTGGGGACAGTGTAATTTGAAGAAACATTCTGTATTTGGTCCAAAAGCTTGATTAGGAGGAGGTAGAAGTGTTACAGGAGTTCTGCATTGTTTCAGCTCCTTTGTACATGGAGGGTTGTGCTCATTTGGTGTTCTCGTCTGCTCTGCAACCATTAGCCGTGATTGTTACAGTGAAAGGAACATAATTAACAGCTGGATGCAAAACAAGTGTGGCAAATTGCTGCAAAATCAGATCATGAGCTTTGATGCCTTCCCTTGTGCAACATTGTACTCGTTATTTGAGTTTGAATGAGATAGCTGTTGCTGGCTGAATTCTTTTCTGTGGACAGTTGCGTGAAGTTTGGTCAAAGGGGTGCTGCTTCTAGACAGGGGTCTAAATGGAACATGTGTGAAACAGAAGAGTTTTCAGCTTTGTTGTATAAAAAGCTTCCGAATTGTGTGAATTTCCCTCCTAGGGGCTGTTGAAAGCCAGATGCTGAAGTGAAATGTGTCAGAGTTTGAAGTAAGGGAGGAAAAAATAGAAAAAGGAAACAGAAGCTCCGGGCTCTGTAACTGTGGGGGCGAGAAGCACCATTAGTTACTGTTTAATTGTTAGATGGAGGTAGCACAAGAAGTGATACGGGAAGAAGAGTGGACACTGGCTTTGTTCTCCGCGGGCACGATCTGCACACATGCTGTCATGTGTGCTGGTTGTCCTGGTGCCACCTGCTACAGATGGCTGCCTGGCAGAGCATGAAGTTTTCCTTGTCTGAACCCCTCCCAACCCAGGCTCAGCCCCTTTAAAACGCCAGCCCTTGCAGTGTTTATCCCTCCGAAAGGTGAGGCCGGCGTGGCAACACCACATTACTCCTTATCCTCCCTTATCCTTTTACTGACTTAATAATCAAAGTTAAGTGTTGCAAGTTTTATTGTCCCCAAGTTCTTTACCTGGGTCACCGTAGGTGACAGTCCCTAGTTAGTGGTCCAGCAACCCACTCAGATAGGGAGAATTCTTTGGCTGCTGTGAAACCTGCCTGAGTTTTTGAGCAGTGTAGAAAGCAGAGCTTCCTAAAAATCCTTCCTGGAGTTGAGTTTTACCATGTTGACTTAAATGAAATCTGTAACGGCACAGTTACAGTCAATAACTCTTGGCCATTTTTCCTCTAAATGGGAGAGGAGGCAGGAGCCTGTGTTGTGCAGCTGGAGCCGATGGGGCTGCTGCCAGCAGCTCCTGCAGCCGGGTGGTCCAACAGGTGAGTGATGTTTTCAGGCCAGAACTGTGAAAAGTAGCACCACAGGAATCAATGAGAATATTATTTTTGAGGGAATGATAGACTCTGCAGAGATTCTTATTGATTTTTTTTCCTCTCTAATGACTTGTAGTACATGCACAATCAGGCAGTTCATTGTTCTCAGGGGACTTCAGGCTGGATTTCTAGATGCTGACAGGTCTACGCACAGTACACAACATTCTTCTTGTGGGACATTTTGGAGGTATGGGTAGAGCTGCCAGCAGAGAGGTGGCATTCATACCTGTGGAGATGGCCCAGGAGAAAAACAGTGAGGTACTTCAGAAGGAGTCATGTTCTGAAAAATGAAGCGGCACCAAGGCCGCCTGCATTACTACTGTGAACTATTAAACAGCTTTGAGGAGCTCCATGTTCAATAGGATGTGGGGTGTACAGTTTTGTTCACTTATGTTTCCTCCTTATTAACCTCATGGTGGAGCTTCCGGGGCAGAAATAAAGCAGCTGTGGAAGCACTTCACTCTTTGTAAGCCCCTGTTTCCACATCTGGTTGGCTATCTTGGGCTAGAGTATGTGGACCTGAGTGTTTTCTGGATAGTAAATAAAATCCTCCTCCAGTCTACCTCACCTTTGAGGGGTTGAGAGGTGGGGGTATTCAATGATGAGCTATGTATCATTGAAGTAATTTTCTACTGTAAATAATAAAAGCCCTAACCACTTTGTTAAACCTCCACCCTCCAAGTGATGGAGATACTAAAAATAGCTGATAATTGGAAAGGCAATACTAGGTTTTGCTTAGTCTCTCGGAGAACTAGCAGTTTCCTTAAGCTGACAGTAGAAATTATAGGGGAGTCCATTGACCCTGCGCAGATATATGCGTGTGATTAATTTTAAAGATAGCAAGCGGTTGGCTTCGGTGGGATAAAAAAAGAAACAAATGATCTGTAGCTCTCCTGAACTTGGGCAAAATTTGTTGAGGACCAAAGAAATAATTCCTTAAGATGTTCAGTGGATGGAACCACGGTTTCTATGCTGCGTGGAGCAGGCTGCCAACAGGCATCCTCGGTGTATAGCTCTGAGGCGTGGGGAACTATAGCTCAAACTGAGGCCCAAAGTGGGAGACTGGTAATTGCTTCTCTTGTCTGTGCACCAGCGAAAGCTGAAATTGCCTGTCCCTGGTTTGAGCTGCCTGGGGAACCTGTGCATGTTGCAGGGCAGCCCTGACCGGTACGTCTGGGGACAGCGGGTCTCGCTGGTGCTGGCAGGTGGTTCTTCAGACAAGGCAAACACTGTTTAACTAATGCAAAGTCATAATAATAGTAAAGGAAAGAAAAAATTGTGGGTGTGAAAACAGATGGATGAAAAAGCTCTGCTGTTTTTATTGTTGTTCGTAGTCTGTAAACAGCAAGCTGTCGTTCTAAAAGAAAAGGAAAAAAAAATCATTTGCCCTTTTAGGTTTTGAAGATGCAGCTGTCACATAAACATATGTCTTGCTGCCCTCATAGCCCTTTGCTGCAGAAAACAGTTACAAACACTAAAGAGACAGAGGCAGAACTTGTCTTGTTATCATCCAGTGTACTTCAGTGAAATGTGCGTTTAGGAACCTAAATAATTAGTAGACAGCATCAGCTCCCTTTTTTGAAAAAGGAAAACCAAACTATATTAAAAGAATGTTTAAAAAACCCCGTGAAAATACAGAGGGATGCTAGAACAGGTTCACGGTGTGTCATTTCAAGCCTACATGCATGAGCTGTATTGGCAGAGAGGGCTTACCCAGCTCCCCACCACAGTTTGTGTCCTCCTTCAGGGTCTCCAGCTCGCTCTAAGCGTGGGTCTGGGTCTGCCCCCCGGAAACAGCCTGCCAGTGTGCCGAAACATGCTCCTCCTGTGGTCTGTGTCCATGGTGCATGGGTTAAAGAACTTTAGCCAGGGTTCAGCCTTGATTGAGGGTACGCCGTAATTGGGTTTTGTTCATATGGAAGTAAGTTCCAGAAAACACTCTTACATAAATATGTTCTAGTAAATATGTAGAGGGGCTTAATGCACAGTAAGCTTTCCGGATACAAAGCATGTTGGGAAATGAAGGCTGGCTCAAGAGCTGTAGGACGTATTCATGCAGTGTTTTCCTGTTCCAGGATCTTGGCTGAAATATGCCTGCATTGGTCTATTACTGTTTGGCTATAAAATGCCTGCCGTAACCTGGCAGTGATACAGAGCTGAAGTAGTAGTGCTACTGGGATCTTAAATTCAGTTATTCCTGTGATTTCAGCCTTTGTACAAAACAGGTATCTTATACGGAATATGTAGGATCTTGAGTCATCATTAAGCTTGTTGCAGACACAGGACATTGTAAAACTTCTGTGGTATCACAGAATGTGAAAGAAGATTCAGAAACGATACGGAGACTGAAATTTGGGAAATGAGTTTATTTTTTCTAAAATTTCTTTTATTATTCCTTTATTTCATTATTTTTCTTGTAATTGCTTTAAGCCATCTGGATGGATAACTGAGAATTACCTACATTGTTTATTCCTCTTTACTATTGGCTGAACAGAAGCATCTTACTTTACGGTGGGCAGGAAAGCATCTTGTCTGAATAAACAGTCATTTTTTTCAGAAAACAAATGTGATTTTGGGAAAATTATTTCACTGGGGTTTTTTGGGGGGAAAAAAGGGTCTATTTATTCTGTTTTTTGGTAGAAAAGTTCATACAAAGTCACAATTCTCAGAATCAATCAAAGAAAAATAGAATAAATTTACAGAGTTCTCATTTTTAAGAGGCACCAAGGAGATGAGTGGTGGGTTGATCAGTGAGGTCATCAATGGAAATCAATGGAATAAGCAGCCCTTATCAGGAACATGGACTGAATTCTAGTCTTTAAACCTTGGCATCCCTAGTAGCTGGGTGTCTAGTGTCTGTGCAGGTTTCTTTTATGTTGTCCTTCTCAGAAGATGCAATTTGAAAAGAAGTTCTGAAGGCAGATGTCTTGTTCCTCTAGTGATTGATTGCCCTTGCTTTTGGCAGTGCCATGTCGTGGTCTTCTAATAACTATGATTGTGTGTGCTAACTGCAGCAATTAGTAGATGCAGATGCAAACAGAGCGTACTGCATCCTGTCTTCTCAAATTACCCTGTGGGAGGGTAATGTGCAGGAATATGCACATGCTCCAAAGAGATCAGTTACAGCATCATTAACACGATACCAGTTTTTGTTTTCTCACCTCTTCTTTTCTCGACGTTAACTAATATCTTCAGCTTTTTGTTGCACTTTGAAGCTAGTAGAAAGCAATAAATACACAAGAAAATTTTCCACAATGAAATGTGAGCAAGTGTCCACCTACTTTTAGCCTGCAAAAATGCTATCTCGATATTTTTTCTTTATTTTATTATCATCGCTGATTTTCCAGGTCACCTTGTCTTAGATTATAAACTACATCAGGACCTGTCTGTATTACAACTCCCAGCATTACATGCTGAGACTGTGCTCTGAAAATAAAGCTATGTTTTTCCTACTTCATGTATCATCACTCGGAATAAAGATTTTGGATTTCCAGAAGAGCTGGCGATTCGAGCTGATTATACACAAGGCAGAGGTGCTCGGGGAGCTCTGTTGCACAGCTCTGTTGACTTTGCAGTGCCGATGGTTCTACAGGTTGTGTAGGGGAGTGGATTTCTGAGGGAGAGAGGGGTTGGGGCACCAAAGAGGGGTGCCTCTGGTTTACTGGTGGTGTCGCAAAAGCGGGATCGTGAACAGCGCTTCAGTCCCACTCTGGGAGCTGTAGGGCTGGGAAGGCATGTCCTTAACAGGCATGACTTGTCCTTGGTGATCCAGGGGTTCCTGAAAAAAGTTTGAAGGCAAGACCAACAAAGGGACAGTTTGTCCTGAGTATTTAGTTGCTTTTAGACTGTAGACAGAGCTACACATATCCAGACAGCGTGGCTGACTTGTGTCTCGAGGAAAGCGTAGAAATGTTCATGCCTTTCCTGGTGTGGATCCTGCCGTTGTCCCCTGCTGACCCGCAGTGTGAGGAAGGCACGAGGGGTCTGTGTTTCTGCTCAGGCCAAGGAGGGTCTGTCACAGACGGAACAGATTTTCTCCAAGACCAAATTCAGACTCTCACAGTGTTCATCTTATTGCTCGAGGATGGAACGAGGTGCTCATCTGTGCGTTTGCTAGGCTGTTGTTTCCAGAGCGCAGACAGCATCCATATTAATGTAGCATTGTTACACACAGTAATTTATGCAGGATTCGTTACACCTGGGACACGTACAAGAGTGTGTAAAGACATAAAGTGTTACGAAAACCCTGCAGCAGATTACTGCCTGACAAAGTCAGCTTTTTAACCAAAGCAACACATTAAAATTTGGATGGCAGTCATGCGTCGGACAGAAACAACCCATGCCAGTGAGGGCTGTGGAGTGAGGAGCTGGGGTACCAGAAGGGGTGTGCTTTCAGCGGAGGTGGCCTGAAAGGCTGCCAAGTTTGAGCTGTTAGTTAAGCCAAATAAAACATTGCTGCTCCACTCCAAACTCCTGTTTACGCAGATCTGCGGGCTCTGAAGTGGATTGAACAAAAGCGTTGGGTTTTATCCCAGCTCTGCAGTGAGGAACTGCGGTGCTGCGGGTTGGGTTTGGATTGCTCGTTTGGCAGAGCTGGCCGTACAGCACGCTGGCTTGCTGCACATGCATACCAGAGCGCTGAAATAGTCAAATGACTGCTTTGGTGTCTGTTTGCCATGTGTTGAAATAAATACCCAATTTGCAAAATTTGCAGTAATGGTGCATGAAAATTCGATGTACAGTTGCGTGTTCTTTTGACCCAAGGCTTGTCTGCCTATTACGGATCAGGTCATTTAACTGGTAAATTCTATGAGTTAATCAGGCAGTTACGCAGGACCCATCACCCACACACGGAGTGTGGAAAAACATGTTGTCACTCTTAACTTCTCAACAGTGAGAGAAGCAGCTGTATGCAAGTCCATTAGTATGGAGCGTTTTATGCAACTAAAACTGTCGGTGGTATTTTCAGAGAAGAAGTGTAAGAAAAATACTTGCTTGCTTTAGTGCCTTTTTGAGGGAATGTGTGTTTACTGTAGATGGGCAAATTACACACCTTGATGTTTTCCTGTATTTTTTTTTGTTTGTTTTTCAGGAAACAAAAATCAACTGTGTCCGGCTGGCAACAAAAGGTATGTGGGTCTCCTTCCCCTGCAAAGCACAGTGCCAGTAATGTAAAAGCTGCAGTGGTGACACAACTTGCTCACAGTTACTATTCAAAGAACAAGCCTCTTTTTCTTTTTTTCTTTTCTTTTTCTCTTTTAAGGAAGATTATAAAGGCAGAACAACAGTTTCCAGAACCACTTCACTATATGTGTGGACTCTGTTATTTTTTTTAAGACAGGGTGTCTCTCTCTCTCTGTGGTTCCTCCTCTCCCTTATTTTGTTAACAGCTTTCCTTCCCTGAGGACGGTTCTTGTTCTTGGCGAACGTCACCGAAAAAGCACCATTATCTTCCGATGAACTGCATTCTCTCTGCAACTGTAAAGTAGAGAAGTAAGAGGAGATCTCACATAAGCCCAACTTTGAACACAGCAGGGCACAAATCTTACGTCACACCATTTTCATGGTGTAATTCAACAAACTAGTGAAGTACATTCCTTATTTTCATTGCAATTAGTAGCTCTTGAGGGACCAACGAAGGCAATGTCTGAGCTCCTTCTTTGAGTTCAGAGCTGCTTTTAACAACTCTTCCAAGGGCTTCAAAATCACCCCAGGGGCTACTTTGCCACCAAAGGTGTCAGAAGCCAATTTACTCGTAACACAAACAGGTGAGTAGTGGTAAAAAGACTTCTTCGACCCATGTTGTAGTCTCAAAATGAGCTGTAAGGAAGCATTCAGGTAATTCCCAAGAGCTGTGCTACAGGTAGCTCTCCATTTCCAAAACATAGAGTTGCATCTTGTGCTCTCGCTGCTTTGCTGTAACGTGAAATAACTGCATTACTGCCTGTGGAGTCTTTCCAGAATTAAACAAAATTGGCAGGAACCCATGGCCCTTTTTTTTTTTTTTTTGCAGCGCTATCCCATTTTTTCTATTCTTTTCACTCCTTTCCACTGTCTTCTGGTGGTGACAGAAGTTAGTTACTTCTAGGTACTTTCTCCTGAGCACTTCTGCATCTGCACTTCCAGAGGAGTTGGGAGGGCTCAGAGGAGCCCCAGCAGACAGTTGCTGGGTAGCAGAAGAGGACTTTTTCCATCTTTGTTTGGGGACATCCCCCAGGCTGTTACAGAAAGCTATGCGCCGGGATGGCTGATGCCGCATGACGTTTCCACCCATGCAGCCGTTTTTCACTGCTGAGATCTGGTGTGCAAACTGGTGTGGCTGTAAGCAGTTGTGTCACCGCTGAAAGCCAAGGAGGATGAGCCATTTCTCCCTTTCATCTGTGTCTCCAGTGCTCCCCATATCCTCTTGTTGCTTTCCTTTTAAAAAGTTCCCTGTAAAATCTTTATTTAATTCATTTCTCTGAGTTACAAACTTTCACGTGTCTCAGTCTCCCCTCCTTCCCCCTCAGTTTTTCCAGCTGATAGTGCCGTGACCGTTTTGGATACCTTATTTTGGCTTTCTGGTGGTAGAAAGAGGAAGAGCAGGACGGGGTAAGAAGAGTCTGAGTGAAACGAGTCTCCCCAGAGTTTTCCCAGAGCGTGACCAGAGGTCTTTTCACTAGATCAGAGGAACTCACTTAATTAGTTTTTGGAAGCCCGTAGTTTCTTCCGTTTCAGTCATTCCTTTTTCTGGAGTTGGTGGAAGAATGTTGTCATGTTAGCAGGAAAGATATTTGCTCTGTGACAGTTCACAGGAGAACAAAGACCTGCGTAGCTTGGGAATTCCCATTCCTGCATGACCTTTTGATTTGCCCTGATTTGGGTGCTTCAGAACAGTGGCACAAAAGTGTTTGACCTTGAGTTGATTTCTGCAAACAAATTTAATTTTCATTAATCTGTTAGGTCACCAGGAAGGGTCACTAAACTACCCTCAATCTCTTGTTCCTGAATCTCTTCTCTTTAAAAAAAAAAATCTCTTAATAATACTAATTTGAGAAGAAATATAAAAGAGATGGGTAGAGCCTGAGGATGCCTAGAGCCACTGTGTTTTGATGATCTTATTCTTTAGGATTTTTCTTGATTGACCTGAATGGAAAAGGACAAGAAATAATGGTAGTACTAGTGTTTATTCTCATTTTCTCAATGGATATTGCTTTTGATTTATAGGCAGACATCTTATTTCTATGCTTGGAAATCTCTGTAGAAATTCTTTTTTTTCCCCTATGTTTTTCTTTCCTTGTCCTCACTCTGTGAATTGAGATGTTGTGTTCTCAGGGCCTGACCATTAGCAAGGACTCTGGTATATACACAGCTGTGGCAAGTTTTACGCAGTTTTAGCTCTTCAAAGGTACAGTGTTGGCTGCAGCTCACAAGCATGGTGGCAGCACAGGCGAATTCGTAGACTTGATAATGTAACAGTATCTTCCATTGCTGGCACCTGCAGAGTACGAGCAGCTGAGCAATAGCTGAACAATGTGGTTCTGTGGTTTGGCGCTTTCCCATAGTTTCAGATTGCCCTGTGTCATGAGGCTGAGTTCCCACCATTCATTAACTCTGTATGACTAGGAGGACTCAGCCACTCCGCATCCCAGCCCCTGAAGAGGGATTTCATATCTGCCCCCTCTCTGCTCTGCGGCAATGGACAGAGACACTCAAGAACCTGTAATTACATTGTGACCTGATCAAAGGCTGATAGCTGGGATCTTCTAGCTGACCTGCTGGGTCTGCGCTGTGTTCTGTCCACTCATTATATTGATTATCTTTAATGGCGTTGCCCTGTATTCGCCTTTATTTGAATCATTGTCTTTCTGAGGAGAGAATGAGCGAACCTGTAGTCTGCCTTGAACAAAATCATCGGAGCTGCTAGCGAAGATACCGAGGTGGTGTCTTTGGTGAGAGTCAGAAAAATTAAAAAAATAAAAGAAACCAAATCACTTTTTGGAGTTGGGGCTAATCTCACCACTGACAGCTCAAAAGCTCCACTTGGAGTTGGTACCAGAGAAAAAGGGAGTTTTGTTTTGACGCAAAAAAATAAATACGTACTACCAGTGCCAGACTAAATGTTCATTTTGGAGTACAGGCCTATTTTTTCCATTCCTAGACATTTGATACCTGCAGTAGCTCCGTTACCATTAGTGAAATGAGTTTTGGTTTACACCAGTGACAGGAAGGGTAGAATCAAGGTGTGCTTCAGCAAGGCAAGTGTTCTCTTAAAGTACTGGATTAACAAGGGTACTAAATGTGAGTGTGGGAGTAATTAGGCAATAAAATGTGTTAGGCAGTGTGTTACTGGGGGATTGTAACACGTCTTGGGTGTTGCTGCAAGGCACCTGTTCACAAGCTGAGGAGCTTTAATTACTTGAGAGAAGTGTGAGGCGGTTCCACTGTCGCCGCTTCAGCAGGCTGGGAGGCAGTTTGCTTTGTATGTCCCATTGCCTCAAAACCAGGAAAACAAAAGTAGACAACTCTTTAAAAAGTGTTTTAATCCATTAAAGTGAGTTTTGGAGATCTCCCAATTTTCTCTCCTCCCCTTCTAGCAAGAAATAGATCGTTGAAGTCAGCTCCATGCAGGAGCTGCTTCTGCTCTCTCCCGGTGATGCTCTCTTCTGCGTGGCTTTCTGCATGCTGATCCTGTTGAGATGAACTTGAATCGTGTGGTCTCAAGAAAGTTCTTTCAAATCTTTTGTGCATTGGCTTCAATGTCAGGGAGGAGTTCAGCGTCTCGGAGCGTGACACCAGCAGTGCAACCTCCGAAGCAGAGCTAGTGGATGCCCACCCAGGCAAGCTCATTTCTTTCCATCCAATGTCTCAGCGTAAGGGCTGGCTGATGCTGGTGGGAAGGACCAGTGGCAGGGACTCATCGTCAGCCTTTGCCATGGTGACATTTGGCAATCCGTCAGAAAGCTCTCTATGTTTGTCCAGTCTGTGTAGCCATTCCACATTTTGCCAGCATGTTTGAAATCCACAAGCGTTATTAACCTTTTGTATCTACGTATGTATTTATTTTTTGGTTCATTGGTCTCAGATTTCTGACTGCTTCCAGCCATAAACATCTCTCCTCACATGGGCTGCTCCTCTTTTTTAAATTACTGGAGTAATGTCGTCTTTCACAGCATTAGTCACTTGGATGCGTATCATTAGCATAAAACACTCTTTGAAAATAAGTTTCTAATTACACCCCGTTTTACCAGCTCTCTGCCATACAATTTTCATTCAGCCAATTTATTTATTAGTTTTGCCATTTGGTTTCCTTGATAGCATTTGTTTTAATATGTCCTGTTCTTTCTGAATTAACTGACTTGTTCTCCCTGTCTTAAAGCGACATATTTATATTGACACTTTATTAGAGAAAATTGCAACCTCTTACCAAGAGAGAGCGATTACCTCTTGTATTCTTAAAGTGCATTAAATTAATTTCACAGTGTAATTGAAACCAAGGCAGAGGGCTCATTAATGGTTCCTTATCTCTTGGTGCTCATTTCTTCTTTCTTTAAAATGTGAGTTCTTGCAAATGAAAGAATGGAACTTTAATAACCATTATGAGGTACATTTTTATTTTTTTGTTTTTTTTTTTTCCTTGTGCATGCTGCCTGGGAACATTTTTGCTTGTTCTTAGCAGTACTAGGTAGGCAACAGGTGACCACGCGACACCCGCCCAACCTCCCGAGCACAGGTGATTATCAGTTCGGGAAGAGGAAGACTGGTCAAACTTCCAGAAGTCTGAGCAGCTTCTTGACTTCTTGTTTCATGTTTGGTTTGCATGGGAAAATATATTTACAGTTATTCTAACTACAGTATAAAGGGGGCACTCCTTGGGCAGAGAAGTGAACATACGCCTGTACAGAGGGTCAGCTGGAGGTCCAAACACTGCTGTAGTCTTCACAGGAGCACTTGATCATGACTGAAGAGTCCCACGGAGCCCTTGCTGGTCCTCTGCAGAGGCTGGGTGTCTCCCTGAGCATGCATGGAAGTGGCCTTGCATTTTTGAGTTAAAGTAGCTATGGAATTTTCTGGGGCAGCACTTATTCTTAGCCGAGTCCTGCTGTTGAAGGAATGATGACAGGAAAATGAAAACTAGATTCTGTCAGTC